GTATATTAGTCTTCTTCTACCTGCCTGTCTGTCGGTCTATACACCTCTTTCTTTATATGTAAATGTACATGGACACACACGCAAATGAATTAATTAGTAAATAAATAAATATAAATACACACACACACAGATATATAAACATATAATTATAAATATATGCAAATTTATGACTGCACATATATATATATATATATATATATATATATATATATATATATATATATATATATATATATATGTAATTTATATATATAATACCATATATATACATATATACATATACATCGATCTATATATATATATATATATATATATATATATATATATATATATATATATACATATATATACATATATATACATATATATACATATATTATACATATATATATAACATATATACATATATATACATATATATAATATACATATATATATATATATATATATATATATATATATATATATATATATATATATATATACATATGCATACATATATATGTATATGTATGTATATGTATGTATATACATATATATGTACATACACACACACACACACACACACACACACACACACACACACACACACACACACACACACACACACACACACACACACACAATGATATATATATATATATAATATATATATACATACATACATACATATGTACATAAATGCACATGTTGTATGTACAAACACCACTATATAATCAATAAAGCCATTTCTTTCCATGGCATATATTTCTTCACTATGATTATCACATCTCTCAACAAAGCTATATATAGCTGCTTTTATTATTCCTCCAAACTCTTTCCCTTTACTCCTACATACCCCTCTCTCTCTCTCTCTCTCTCTCTCTCTCTCTCTCTCTCTCTCTCTCTCTCACACACACACACACACACACACACACACACACACACACACACACACACACACACACACACACACACACACACACACTCACTCACACACTCACACACACACTCACCCATCCACTCACTCACTCACTCACTCATTTACTCTCACTCTTTCTCTCTCTCTCAATCACCCACCCACTCAGCTACTCACTCGTTGAAAATAACAGAATCAGAGAATAGTTGCAAAAAACAATGACCCCAATATATGACAGGCATCTTTATCAAACCTTCGGTGAAAAACATATTCATCCAAACATTTTCAGAAACCAAATATGTAATCAAATCTATATCTATTATATAAGATGCGTATGTGCAGGTGGTTAACTTTGCAACCACATAAAGACAGACAGGAAAGATAATACTGATAAATAGGATATAAGTCAATATCATTTATGTATACATCCCTTATAGACATAAATTTCACCCTTTTGACAGGATATCAATCTTGCTTCATACCTTTCTGTGTATACTTCAATGTAACAAAGAGTAGTGAAAGTACTGAACACGTCAGTGCTTTTGGTAGATGATCGTATTGACAATGAGAAGAGTAAAACATTAAATTGAAAGAAAAAATATATATTATCAGCATTAGTCATATTAAAATAATGATATGGTGGTAAGCGCGCCCAGTGTTGTTCTCAGACCAATCGCGTTGAATAAATACTTTGTTACTTATTTTACCTATAACATAAACATCGGTATCTTCACTTTGACGCACTACAATCACGAGATCGATTGCGTTGATGTGAATTTATCAATGTCCATGTTAGGGATGAAGGTTTAAATTGACAAAAAACGCCTGATTAAACGTTTTATCGAACAGCTGGTCTGAGACCCCTTTGGACACGCGCACCTCCATACTCATCTTCTCACATGCATATCAGTGTTTTAGTTGTCCATTAAAGTATAAAAGTATTCTTATAATATCATTCAAAGTATTGTTGTACCATTGTATAAAAGTATTCTTATAATATCATTCACAGTATTGCTGTACCATTGTATAAAAGTATTCTTATAATATCATTCAAAGTATTGTTGTACCATTGTATAAAAGTATTCTTATAATATCATTCAAAGTATTGTTGTACCATTGTATAAAAGTATTCTTATAATATCATTCAAAGTATTGCTGTACCCTTTTTATTGAGCATCAGTATGGATGGACTACTGTAAGAAAAACAACAGATTTTCCATAGCCTTTTAATTGCAACAGTACAAAAATTGCATTTACTAATAACCGATGGTTCCTTAATAAAAGTATCACAATCTCAGATCAATGGGAACAAATCACACAATAGTATCACATTTATGTGTACATTTGACGCTCTATTCTTACATACTATAGACTTTTACACACTATTATTATTACCATTTTATATACGGCTTTACTTTGACACAATTTTATATCTTTTTAAATATAGACAAGGCCTTAACCATGAGTCCAGAAGGTTCTAACAACATTAATGATTGTCTGTACGTCTTAACTATCATGGCTCATGTGTTTAGGGTATCAGAGGGTTCTGGCTGGCCGAAGGAAAGTGGCAGGGTGGTAAGACACTAATGTTCAGGAACGTGGGAAGTGTGTTAGCATGTAAGAGAGTGTGTAAGAGAGTGTGTGTAAGTGTGTGTAAGAGTGTGTGTGTAAAAGTGTGTGAGTGAGTGAGTGAGTGAGTGAGTGAGTGTGTGTGTGTGTGT